TGCTTGTGACAGGTAAGTTTTTGTAGCTGATACTATAGTGAGACAGATAGATTACTGTTCAATTTTTCCTTCTCCACTGACTGGTTTATAAAATGTCTAACCAATCATTCAGCCTATCTACACTGCCTTTATTTCATCTGGTAAAAAGAGATAAAATTCTATAATCTAGGGCCGGCCTGGTGGCGCACTCGGTAGAGTGTGGCTCTTGGGAGTGCGGCGGCGCTCCCACCGAGGGTTCGGATCCCATATACAGACCGGTCCGCTCACTGGCTGAGCGCGGTGAGGGCGCGACACCGAGGGTTGTGATCCCGTTGACGGTCCCGGTCCCCATACGGGCGTGACACTGAGGGTTGCGATCCCATTACCGGTCACGGAAAAAGACAAAAAGGAAAAAAAAAATTCTATAATCTATAGCGCTCTTTCAAGGATCAGAAAGATAATGTAAATTAGGCACCATTAACAGAGCTTTTCTCACAGAGGGATTTATTAACTAGGAAATTATTTTCAGAGAAGTGAGTCATTGGAGACAAGTGGTATTCATATGTTATCATCAATATCATAAGGAATTATTGGCATGAAGGAAAATGAGGTCTACGATCTGCCAATGCGAGGCTACATAATTTTCTCTAATAAATGTACAAAAAGTAGGAAGCTGATACACTCATTTCACAAACAGGAAGGCAATATGCGTGCTCCTTCAATAACTATTAAAGGTGACGGCAGTATTTTGTATTCTACTAAGAAACTCTTTTGGATTTTCAGGTTACCATGGCATCTGGACCCAACATGAGGGCTCCCATTTGTTTGGTGGAAAACCAGAAAGAGCAGCTGACAGTGAATCCAGAAGCAGTAAAGGTTCTTGAAAAGATTACTCAGCCTGTGATGGTGGTGGCCATTGTAGGGATGTATCGTACGGGGAAATCTTACCTGATGAACCGCCTGGCAGGACAGAAACATGGTGAGTGTTGTCCGAGAACAGGGGCCAATTAATTGGAACCATTGCTAATGCAAGCTGATCATGCCTACTCTAGGATCATCTTAAGGAAAACCTGAATTCTCCCAAGGAAAACAAAAATTTTAATATTAATTTTTAGTATTTATCACCAAATTTATAATCCCCACTCCACTCATCCTCAAAATCTCACTCTTTACTCAGTAATAAAGAAGAATTACCCCCAAGCTATCTAATGATTCACTCCAATAGTCTTTTGAACAAAATTAATTCTCCCCTATTCAGAAGGTCAACTCCTGTAATTATCCCATTTCTTTCTCCCACATTATTTTTGTTAAAACTATAGAGTGATTCCAAGAAGTATAGAAATGTAGTACAATATGCCTTATTTTTAAAAATATAAGGAAGGAAGGAAGGAAGTAGGGAAGGGAAGGGAAGGATCTTTGTTTATCCCATATTCCAGTGGAGCTGCTTTCTGATTTTTCTGCACCACTTCATTGCTAAACTTTAATTATACTCACTTCTCTTTCTTTAGTTTTTTGAAATATATAGATATAAACTACAGAAGAGTGCTAAAAATACAATACACAATAAAACTAATAAATATAAAGTGAATCCTTATTTAATCACTGACCTGGTCAAGAAATAAAACTCTGTTAACACTCAAACACCGAAATCACACCACCTCACACCTTCCCGTCAATATTTTGATTTCTATTATACTTGTACCATTG